CCGTGGCGGTGCTGCATCCCTTGCTCCGGGTGCAGAGCCGCTGGTGGGGCGTGTTGCACGCAAGGGCTGGTGCCTCTTGGGCCGTGGAGGGGTTTGGACCAGCACATGCAGCTTTGGCCCCGCTCTCCGCTGGCAAAGGAGATGGTTTGGCACCAGGATCGGCCAAGGGGGTTGGCCCAACTCCCGTTTCCAGTCTTCCCTGGAGGATCGCTGCTCCTCTGGACCTGTTGGATGGGAGCATGTGGGGCAGGGAGGAATGCGTGCATCCCAGTTGTTGATTTGGCTTCCCAGAAGGTTTTTGCGGTGATGCTTTGCTGGCTCAGTTGCTTTTTGACTTGGAAGATGCAGCTTTGCCGGTGATGGGTGGACCCTGCGAGTTCCTCTCTGGAGCTGTAGCAAGGATGGGTCAGCTCGCCTTCACTTCCAGCCTTAGAAGTCGTGGTTTCAGGCTGGAAGAGAAGCCCTGCAGATGGGCGAGCGGTGCTGTGCCGATGGAGGAGTCCTTCCCTCTCCCTTCCCCTGCGGTAGGCATCTCCCGAGCCGGGAGCCCGGAGCGACCAGCTGGCCTTTGGAAAAACAACTCCCTTCCTCCCGCTTCGCGATGGAGAGGCTGGCGTTGGTGGGAGGGCTGCCTGAGCCAGGAACAGCGTGATTCAGGAGCTGCTGGCGGGCAGCTCGGAGCGCTGCCTGCATCTCAGTTACCCATCGCAGGGCTAGGATGGTACGCGCTGCTCCGTGAGGAGGGCGATGCGGGCATCCTGTGGGTACCAGCCCAACGTGGGTCCACTGGATTGGCTTGGGGGGCACAGCACCTTGGTTACGCTCTCCAGGTGCTTGAGCAGGTCCCTCCAGGGAGCAGTTTTGGCTCCAGCCTTGTGCAGAGGGAGCTCATGGGGAGCACACAGGTACCTGCGGGTCGTTGCTGGGAGATGCTGGCTCCCGTGAGGCACAGCGCACGTGGGGATGCTCTATGCCGGTTAAGAGGGAAGGGGCACTGGGGACCCCAGGTGGAAGTGGGGATGCTGGGGTGACATTGGGAATGGTATTTTTGTGCTCCTTCTCTGCGCGCTGACCTGCTCTAACACACATGCTCTGGCATGCACAGGGGTGCCAGGGCAGCCCCCTGCCTGCATGGGGACGGTGTTAGTGGCCCCACAGGGCACCCGTTGCCCTCAGGGATGGGGTTTGAAGTCCCCGTCACCCCACGCTACCCCTTGCAGTTAATCCTGCTGTTCCGCTGGCCCCGCGTGACCTTGAGGGACGTCGACGTCACTTGACCTGCGCGTCGCCCTCCGTCCATCTGGAAAATCGGGTTTAAAACGCAGGAATCGCACTGAAAGCCCAGATGCTGCTTTCCAGCTGGGGGAGGGGGCGAAGGCTCTGCTCCCAGCATCCCCCACCCAGGGGCTGTCCCCTGCCAGGATGCTCTCAGGGGGCTGCGGGTACCCTGGGTGGGCAGTGGGAGGTGCAGCCCCCACTGAGCTGTTTTGGGGGGTAATGAGGTGGGGGGCAGGCACTTCTCCCCCCATCCCATGCACCGCATTGGTAGCCTAGGTCCCTGTAGCGGGTGGTCCCCATGCCCGCTCCCCAGGCTGCGGTGGCTGCCCGCTCCCCTTCCCTGCTGGCCTCCATATGCCACGCTGGTGGCCTTGTCCTCGGAGATGCCTGCCATATCCCCCCACCGCTGATGTGAGCGGGATGTGTCACAGCAGATCTCGTCTCTGCTCGACAGGGATGAGAGGTCCATGGGCTCGGGGCCACGCGCCTGCTCCCTTGGCTGTCCCTATTGGGGGATGGGGACAGGCGCCTAGGATGGGGGGTCAGGACGGGGGCACGGGTGTCTGCTGGGTAGGGCAGCCTTCCCAGGCTCTTTGCCATCATCCCTTGGCTGTAGGATTGGTGTTTATCCTTGCTGCCAGTCGCTTAATTTGGAAACCTGCTTTGCCAACACCGCAATCCTCAAGGAGCATCTGTAGGAAGGGTCCCGCTTCAGTGAGCACACCTGAGATGCTGGATACCCCCAGCTTCACCTATTCTTGCATCTCCTTCCATCTCTGCTTTCGGGATGGAGGAAAATTGGGCGAGGGTCTTCCCATCCTTGGCATCGCCATCCTGGGGAGCCCCACGGTGGCATCGTCTCTACGCGGCGGCAGCCTTCCTTCCTCTCCCTTTGGGATGCCGTTCAACTCCACCTCCGCATCTTGTATTCTTGCCTCCTGGCACGCGGCGTGCTTTTATTTTTTCCTGGATCTGCTTGGATGGTGAAGCCTGTTGATTACTTGTTTTTGCTTTATGAGGCATCCCCCAGCTTCACGTGAGCTCCCACACCGAGGGGGGATCTGGGGTTCATGTCCCCACTGCATCTCCCCAGTGTTCACCCCATTTCCAAACCACAGGTTAAGCCTTGAAACCCCCCTGAACTTGGCTGGGAGAATCGAGTGGGTTTTAAAATACCCTGTCTGTTTGCGCTCTGTTTCTTCTGGC